AAAAGCATTAGCAGATGCACTTTGCAAGAATACCACACTGACTACTTTGCAACTTCAATATACTAATCTTGGATCAGAAGGAGGAAAAGCAATGGCAAATGCACTTTGCAAGAATACCACACTGACCGTTTTGTTTCTCTTTGGTAATTATTTTGGGGCAGATGTTGGAAAAGCATTAGCAGATGCACTTTGCAAGAACACTACCTTGACTTATCTGAATATTGCTAATAATAAACTTGGATTTGAAGGAGGAATAGCATTAAGAGACGCACTTTACAAAAACACTACGCTGAAAAAATTGGATATTCGTCGTAATGATATTAAATTCACTTTAAAATCTAATAATCCAAATATTGAAATATTTCAAATTTAAATCGCAATAATTATCAGTAAAGGAATAAACAAGTGAGTTATGCGTTAACTACTTTACTCATAAACCGAGAGAGGGCAATCAAGAGAGGAAGCAAGGAAAAGAACAAGAGAAAGAGGATTTGCTTTAAATATATCTATAGTTATTAAAAAGAATAAATAAATAATAATTTTTTTTTTATATTAAATCGAATCTAATTTTACTAATATTTTCAGTTTGTAAAAAAGCAAAATGCAATACGTATAAAGGAGGCTGTTAATAATAGTCCAAAATTGGAAATGTGTGGTGCCTAAAAAACGTCCTGGGTTTGGCAACCAAGAAAGATAGCAAAGAACCCAGTAGGGTAGTCTTCATGAAACAGCATTTCTTAATTTTAAGTGAAATGGCACAAATTTTCTTGCCTTGCAATAAATGCGCAAAGTGAACGCTTATGTTTGGATGCAGGAAATATTACAAATGTGAAGAGAACGTTATAAAATCCCAAGCTACTAGGTATAATAACATATGAAATCAACGAATTACAAGTTTATTTAAATTGTATATTACAGTATTAAATAATGTAATAGCGCAATTGATAGATTTATTGTTATTAAATTTTTTTATGTGATGAAATTATGGTAATGTTTTGAGGTTTTTAAAAAAGCTTGATGAAAATCGAATATTCGATTAAAATTTTTCGCTAATGCTCGAAAATCTAGAGTTTGTGACCAAGCGATTTTCGAATCTCATCGATTTCATTCTCTAGTTCGAATAATAAATTTGCTTAATTACAGACCTTTACTGATAAGGAAACATACTATTGAAATTGTACAAACATATTCAATTAAAATACGAATCTATCTATTAATAAAAAAATGAATTTACCTATTACTGAAATTATAAATTTTTCCACCGTTAAAAATCAAAATTTATTCACTATTAAAATCGTAAACCTATCTATTGTCAATGTCAAGGACCAATTCACCATTGAATTTAAAACGCTCTATGTTATCTGATTCAATAGAATAGGTCAATAAAATTAAAATAAAAAAATAAAAAAATAAAACCAAAATAGTAATTAAAAATCTTACTACAATTTGGGCCCACAATTTTTCGTGTCAATTGTCTCGTTAACGAAACACATTTCTTAAAATTAATAGTTATGACCAAGTGCATAACACAAATCCTCCAAATCATTTAATTTCTCACGAACCTTAACATATAAAACACCCTGCCTAACTTTTTGCGCGGCAATTTTGCACAACGTTGTTTTCCAATACCATGCTCTTAAAAATCCTCATGGGGTTTTTTAATGCTTGCGATCGAGGCACAATCAAGTCGTCTGTAATATTAAGCTTAGGCTTATTGCCATTTCCAACAGCCAAAAAGAAATTAATAACAAAATGTGCCAGTACTGGATGCCGTTTTGCAGTCTCCTTAGCAAAATTTCCCAAGTAGGATTCATTAAAAGAGGCATAATAAAGTTTGTAAAAGCAACGGTTTAGGTAGTTCATATCTCATTGCAAGATTTAGTAAGACTCGAGAAGATAGAATTTTTTGCGAGAGATTCCCTTTAGCTACCATATTATAAATAGCTGTGTAATTTCATTGGTTGAAGATATTTCATGTTGATCGAGATGTCATGCAGATCAGGTGAATAAATTTTGGGTATAACGATAAGGGTCCGAAAATAAATGAGGGCCCAAGGTGAAAAGGTGAAATCAATTACATATAAAAACCTAAAATTTAAAAAATTTTATAACGTATGGGCGGATTTTTTTGATTTGGTGATTATTAATGACATTTCATAAAATTTAATCCAACCATTTATGTGCCGGTAAAATAGAATTGAGATTGCTTGATCTCCGATAAAATTGAATTGTAAGATTGTATTTGATTAGTTAATTGCTTGCCTTGACTATTAATCCGCTTATGAATCGCTTATTAAATCATCTATGATACCGCATAATAATTTTAAATAATCATAGTATTTAATTGGTCAGTTGCTTTTCTTAGTTGTAAATTTCTTATGAAACTGATCATGAAGCCGCAGAATATTTATAAATCATTTATAAATCATTTCGTATATCGCTTAATTTTAATAATCATCAACAATTTTCGCCCATACGATAAGGACCATAATAACTTGGCGTTATTATAATTATTTGAGCGTTATTACTGTAATTTCTTTTAAACATGACACAATTAGACTAGATTAAGCACGATATTTTATCAATATTGCCGGTTCTAAATTAGCAAGTCCACATTAAACTAGTTATGAATAAGTCATTGATTTCGGCATGATAGATACGATCTAAATTACGTTACATACATATACATTATATATATATGTTTTCGCACAAACTAAGCTGTTGGCAAGTGTTCAAATGAAAATTTAATAATACTAAACGTGTCGGCATTTAAAATTATCTGCAGAACTAGTATCATGGCTTTTATATACGGGGTAGAAATTTGCGTAATTTTACATATAAGTTTCTGGTATATAATATTTGTATGTAAATAGCGTTGGCCAAAAATTTCGCAAAGCTGACACATAAAGTCTTGTAGTGCTGTTAAAACTTTCGCACTATTTATTGCTAATGTAAAAGTTACGTACGTACTTACTTACGATAATTTAATTTGATTTATTCATTATTGACAAGAAAGAAATGAAAAGTAAATTATTATATGACTATAAAGAAAAATAGTCAAGTTAGAATTCAGCAACAACTACAGTACTAAAACTTAGTGCTAATCACGAAACTGTTACTTCTAATTTGGAACATGCTATACAACAAACTGAAGATAAAGTTGCTAAAGTATGTATTTATTTATAAATCTGAATAAATCGGGATTTGATTAAATCTACTCGGTCTTATTCTTATCAATAATCAAGACAAATATATAAATAAGTTACATCATTTACATAAATGATATCTCTTTAAATTATAACAGATCGCAGCTGAATATTGCGGACAAAACCGTAAATTCTGAGATCGAGAATTTGACATATATGTGAACATGAATGATTGTCTTTATAATTGTAAGTAAGTCAAGTTCACAGACACTAATAATGTAAAACGTGTTACAGATGTTTACAAAAATCCGCAGTTTTCATCAATGGAGTTGAACCCAATGATATTAGACAAGGTGAAGTTGGCGATTGTTGGTTTGTTGCTTCATTAGCCGTTATTGCAAATATTATGTTGGAGTCTATTGGTTTATTTTTTTCAAAGTTTGTATATAATTAATACTGTAGAATAATTTTTTTTGTTTGAAAAAAAAATTTTTTTAATAATTTTAAAAAAATAAATTTTTATAATAGGATTTCAACTGTTGTTGATGATCAGCTTTTTACGTCCGGCAAATATCAAAATGGAAATTGGAAATTAACATTTTCGTAAGCATTGAATATTAATCAATTATCTATTTTATTAAATTTTTTAATATTAATTTATATATTGACTTACATACATGAAAATGAAACTTGGTTACCGTTGATTGAAAAAGCATATGCAAAAGTTCATGGTGACTATGAAAGTATCCATGGTGGTGAGACTGGTCAAGGTACATTTTACATCTACGTTATGATTTTTCTATGTATAATATTTATATCACCATTTTTAATCATTTTCATAATCTCATTAAATAGGAATAGAAGATCTTATGGGTGGTGTCTACACTTTAATATTCGTTTCTGACATTTTAGATAAAGAGAAATTTTGGAATGAAGAGTTAAAATATGTTAATGATGGTGTATTATTTGCTTGTAGTAGATTTGAATTTAGTGACCAAGATATGGACACAAAAGGAACTTACAGTAATCATGCTTATAGAATTTTACGTGTAGCTGAAATAGAAACTTTTACAAATTAGAAATCCTTAGGGTTCATCTGAATGGACTGATGCATGGAGTGATGAAACTAAAGAATGTAATTATGAACGTATAAATAAATTTGAACATAAATTCGGTGATGATGGTACTTTTTGAATGAGTTATTATGATTTCCTTAAATATTGGGATCAAATTGATAGATGTAAATTATTTGATTCAAGTTGGACTGTTTATTCTACTTGGATTAATTATAATGTTGTACCGAAATCTAAAGGAAAATTTACTTTGTATTTACCTGAGGAATGTGATTTAGTTATAGTACTTCAACAACCTGATGATAGGCATTTTAGTGGTAAACCTAAATATATGCAGATATTTTTCCTATTAAATTTTATTTCTTTGTGACTAATAGTACTATAAATGACAATGTTTTTTATTTTGTTAAAGATATCGATTAAGTTTCCGTGTCCTATTTAATTCATAGCCGCTCATCAGTTCCATTAGCTCCTCGTAGTGTCAACCTTGAAACCACTCTTCAGGCGAAATTATTCCACGTATAAATCGTGAAATTGCTCCTCCTGATTCAGATACAAGCGTAACATCTGATTATAAAGAGGACGAAGAAATTAAGAAACGTAAAGAAAACGTGCTAAAAGGCTCCATAAGGATAATTATGAGTCCGATTCTAATGATGATGAGGAGGAGGATAAAGAAGGTACCATAAGAAGAATGAAGAAAAATGAGAATTACAATTGGGTTTAAAAATTTATAGCAAGTGTAAAGAAATTAAACTGGAAGGTCATCCAGGAGAGTTTCCAAAAAATAAAGAAAGAAGATAATAAAGAAGATAAAGATCCGGAAGTCGATACTAAAGTTATTGGTAATAGCGATGATGATAAAAATAAGGACGATAAAGGTAAAGATGACGATAAAGGTAAAAAAGGATGATAAGCGTAAAGAGGATGATAAGAATAAAGAGGATGATAAAAGTAAAGAGGATGATAATAGTAAAGAGGATGATAAAAGTAAAGAAGATGACAAGAAAATGAATAAGAAATATCTTAATTAATGAATATTTGACCGCTATTTTAACTTCTTGACTATACATAATTCATATCTGATTCAGCCCTAATATTGCGCTCAACTAAACAAAAAAATCATCTTTAAATGTTCAATTAAATAAAAAAAAAACATCATTAAGCACTTGACTATTTAATTAAATTTATTTTTTTCCATATTACTGTATTAAAAATGACAATTTTCTTTTTTGACTTTATTTATTTTACACTTTAACATATTAATTTGATTATATCTGTATAAAGTTAACTTTTTAAAGCAATGTACATTGCGAATTCCACTATTATAAACAAACTATTTTAAACTACATATCATATAAATTTAGTATATATTATCAGAAGTACAGAAGTATTTTTTATTTGCTATGTATAAATCCAATCTACCAAGTAGATCATATAAAACTATCAACATTTATCCTATAATCATATTTCGTTTCAAGGATTTGTGTTAAATCTGCTAAAAGTTGATGCAAATCCTTTACCCTATAATCATATTTCGTTTCAAGGAGTTGAGTAAAATCTTCCGAAAGTTGATTCAAATCCTTTACCCTATAATCATATTCCGTTTGAAGGAGTTGAGTAAAATCTTCCGAGAGTTGTTGTAATCTCTGAAAGGCATTTTGTCAAAAATTCAAAAATTCCGAAATTTTGAAATTCAGAAATTTCGAGACGCTTAAGAATTCTTTTGAGAGTAGAACTAGGCGGCTCGGGACATTGCATTTTCCACAATTCCATAAAACCGTAATTTGCACCCGGTTGCAGCATAGCAAATAATATAATCCACTCCAAGAGTGAGAGGATCGATTCTATTGAATTTATCCTCAAGATCTTTCAAAGCCCTTCCAAAATTTCCACATCTGCCTTTTCTCCACCTTTGAGGAATAGGACGTTGTTTATTCGGCACACGAAGTCTGGGCGAGAATAACCTTTCGTGGTTGACCCTGAATCCGATCTGTTCCGATCAAAGAGTTGCGACTAAGGATTCTTTAAACAATTTAAGCGTGTTGATAATCAGCAAATCGATTGTCATATGCATTGCATCGCTTGGTTCAATTTCTAATTATTTGCTTAAATCTGCAAGCGATTTTTCATGTCACTATGCAGTAAGTTTCTCCACGACTTATTAATGCAATGCATTG